ATATTTATACGCGATTACAGCGGCCAAGCATCGCAAAACACAATGAGTCAGTAGTTCATTGAATGTACCATGGCAGCGGACATGGCCTCTCTCAATAAAAACATGAAACGGACTTTACGGGAACAGCAAAGACGGGTGGAGCAAGAGAGAGGAGTAAATCAAAATTAGATTTAGCCTGTATCTTTTCGTCGCTAGTACAGTATTGGGTGAGCCCTTAGCGCGGTAGCGGGAGTCTGTGCATTGCTGATGGACCTTATCCTCATGATTTTTTTGTGGTCTCATGAACTGTGTTCCTTTAGGCGGACTCACTACCACTCCTCCACTCTTTTATTTAGCCACAGCTTAGCCTACTTCATTTTTTCCTTCTATTTCTGTTTCACATTCTTTGTTTTTGGGCTCGGCGCCACATGGGAAAAACAGACGCTTGTCTAGTCGGAAACCTGGGGGTTTTTCGACAAGCGCGGTTTACCACTTGGCGTTAAGAGCGACTGAAGTTGCAGCATTATGCTATGATCGCTCTGACGGCATGGTTACCCAGAATGACCCAACTAGCCATTGAGAGGCGGCCGTAAGCGCATCTGACAATCGGGAGGATTTCTTCGTCTGTCTAACCGGACAGCTCTCGAGGTCTATGAAGTCCGAGAGGGGAGAACGAAAAAGCTGGATCGAGTTGGCGTCCAGACTGCCCTGAGCTGTTCGTGCTGCCGGTCGCAGCTTCAGCCGGGCCGCCGTCCAGCGGTTCCTCGGTCAGCCACTGCGTTGCCCCTCAGGCTGAAGTAGCAACCGCGAAAGCTCTTTCTGCGACGGTTCTGTTGCCGCTTTTCCCTTCGCCTGTCCTCTCATGAAAAATCGTTTCGGCTGCCGTTTGCCGACGCAAGAAAACTCAGAGTTTACGGCTATTCGCTACTTTATCCGCTGAGCGCTCTCAAGCCTCTCTTCAAAAGCGGCTACTGCTGCCGGTAATGATGGCGTTACAAGGTTAAGAAGGCCAGAGGCTCCCTCTCAAAGCGCAGCAGGGGAGGAAGCAGCGGGCTAGAGGACGTCAGTAAAGATATTAGTTTTGTAGCAGTTACTTTGGTGGAAAAGGGGTTTGTTGAAGGACGCACGACTGAACGAAAAGTGAAGTGCAGCTGTGCTGTAGTGGGAAGTTTTTGTTGCAATGAGGCTGTGGCCATACGACGCGGCCGCTGTCATACGGGCCGATAATTTTAAAGCGACAAGATTTTTGGGTCTGTCATTGAGCCGCTTACTTCTTTTGTACCCTTCCGCCTCTTTTTCTCGCTAATGTTGAGTCTTCGTGCACTCCTCTACCCTATATAGAAGCGGCGCGAACGCCCGTACAGGGCCGTTTCCTTTGCTCGTTTTGCTACGCCGATGGTTGTGACCAGCATACGTTGTACACAGGAAACGAGCGCATTGCCATCAACGTTAGCTCGGTTACATATACTGCCAACAACGTTATTAAGAAAATCTTCTAGTTGTAGTTCGGGCCCGGTTGACCCACATCTATTACAGGACGTTGGACGTTTGCCGTCATGTCACTAATCATCCTAATTGAAATTGGTGTTGTTGTTTGTTATTATTTATTACTGTATGTTTAAAACAACAGAAACTGAAACAGATTCACCCAAAACCTCAAGAAAAACTCGCTTGACAATAAGTAAAAGTAAGTATAGAATACATGAGCTGTCGTCTTTGCTACAGGAACAGAGTGATGATAACGTTGACGTTATCGCTAATTAACGACACGGATCAATTTGAAAATTAATACGGTTCGTGACAATCTTATCAGGTAAAAAAATTTCCCAAGAAAAATTACAATTTTTACCATTATTGCTAAGGTTCTTCATTCTAGTTTAACACAAATGAACTAGAATCAATTATAATAATCATTGCATGTGCACCAATGCGTTTCACTGACAAAAAAAGGCCTAAAACGCTTAATTTTTTCTTATGTAAGTGCTTATTAATTGTCACAAAGACTATACGCTAATAGCAAATGTTCCTCACAAAAGGGGCCTATTTACCGTCTGCACAAAACCATTTCTCGGTGAGCGAACATTGTATCTTTTCCATGATGCAAATACATAACCTGTTTGACGTAGTAGCTAATGGCGCGACTCACGTCGCGACATACCATAATAATCATAATGGGGGCGGCAGTCGACGTTGGGCAATGCCCCGCAGCTTAGCCCTCGTCAAATTGTCCGTCGGATCGACTGGTGTCGATATTCAATCGTCTGGGTTGTTGTACGATGCCATTTTATAGCCCGTAAAATAATACGCAATCATAGAAATTACCGTCTTTCAAAAGACGAGATGAAGCTCTTTTGCTGAGTAGACGGTCGTAACTTCATTCAATGACAAAATGTCAATGCATGGATAGTCGGATGGCTGGTGCTAGTATAATAAGGCATGATTTGATATTTTGATGCGCTTTCACTCTTAATATTGCACTGGTTATTATGCTTTCGGTCATGATAATTGGAATATACAATGTTCCTATACATGTAGCCATCCCTTGTGTTACCAGTCAAAAATCAGACAAAAGTGCATAATACGACGATCAGGAAACTTTTCAACGATGCAAATCTATTTTTTTTTGGGGTTACATGGGTATATATGGTATATGGGTTAAAATGGACCACGCTTACAGATTACTTCGAGTTTTATGCACGTCTTTCTAAGCATGACGCGCTTTTTTTCATCAAATAACTGTACTTTGACATCGATATCATCGTTACTTTGGTGGGTCCTTTATTGTTTCCTATAAGAATGGTCCTATGTACTATTCTTATAAAAACGAGATTAGTTCAGATACGGACACAAGCACAATGCCCCCGGTAACTTTTTTTTAGAAAAAAAATTCTGCTTGGGGTGCAATCCGAATTAAATGGGTCTCGATTTGTGCAAAGGCCGTCGAACCTTTTAGAGAGATAGCTATCCTTTGGCATTCGTGTCTCGTACCTAAAAGGTCCCATACAGTGTTTCGTACATCCTGAACATAACAATTGCTATAGTAATGTTGATGCAAAAACATGGAGTGAGAAAGTGAGATTTGGCGGGAAAAAAATCACTATGTTTTGTCGGCGTGCTAAGCATTTAGCTCGCAGCTCAAGAGTCAAAATGAGGTTCAGTGAATTCACGTGACGTATGACGTACTATAGGTAATATTATGACAACTCTAGCACAGGCAAAACAGTCAAGTCAACCAGTAACCTTAGTCTGGTGGAACTCCTCTATCTCGTTGGTTGGCAACACAAGCTAAATCATACACATACACCAGAAGGAGGAATATATATAATAACATAGACCCAGAAAATATCGACATTAACGGAACATGGGTCAGATATGCTGTTGTCTATAGTCCAAGATGTTTGTGCCAACGTAGATATTCATGAAATGCAGTGGAGAAAAATTTATATGTTTATGTACGTTCTCTGATTTATACGAATCCTAGATTGTCCGGCCCATTGGCTGTATTATCCGATACGATGGTTATAGCTTTGAGGAAAGTCAAAGAGTGCTACATTATTCTAGTTTTTCGTAGCAAAATTGCAGAAACGAAATTTTTTTCGTTATGTTTGTTACATAACTTTTAGATTGGTCGAGAGTAAAAATGACCCTAGTAGCTTAGAGAAGGGATTTTCGAAGTGACGATTTATAAATACGAACTATATTTCGGCAGTTCGATGGCGCAATTTTTGTTGTATGCACAAAGACGTCCTTCTTGCAAAGGACGTATCCCTATTATCGAAATAGTAAATACCAACCAGTCTATTCATGTGTCCTGTCAACATATCCCGGACCTAGTCGAGTGTAATGTTATTGTAGATTCGTAGTGAACCGTCTCAATGACTTCATAAATGCCATGCAAAAACGAGAGTTTGGGCTCATATTAAATGAAATTGAATAAAATCTTCCATTGTCAAACTATAACCCACAATGTTAACATGTTCGTAACGTACTCCAAATGGTTTCCGTAGCTCGTACACAATGGGAATATTGAATGTTCTATAAGCAATGGAAAACTTCAGAAAAAAACGGTGCAAAATGAAGCTTTATACTATCAAGTTGAACAGTGCATTCTATTCAGCTTAGCCGTAATGTTGGGCGCACGTTGCACGTGACGACGATAGAAAACAGTTCTGGGAAAAAAACTGCCCATTTTTTCCAAGATTTTCTAACCTGTGTCCAAAGTAGGTTAATACTAAGGTAGTATTGACTTCTTATTGAATCTTATATAAATCAGGAAATTGTTACGGCTCACCTAGTTTTATCTTATCTCAGTTTCTGTTTATTTTATTTAGGCTTTTGCAAATGGCAAGCTGTCCAGTTCCTGCTTCTGCTTACGACCTGCCCTCTGCTACTGAGTGCGTGTACTGTCAATGTCATTAGAGCTGCGTAAAATCTACAAATGCCGGCCGCAGTAATAAGGCTAAGGGGAAGAGTGCGAATGGCTCTTAGCCAGTAAAATGTGATGATAACAGGCAGGGCGCACCCGCGTGGGGGGTTAAGCTCGGGGTGTTTCAAGACTTCGTGAGACAAAGCCAGCGGGCAAACGTGTTAGTCAAGCATTTACAGGTCACGTACTACGCATAAAAACAATGAATGACGAAAATTATGAAATTTGTCTTTTTCTTTCCGTATCCCCTTCGAAGGTAAATGCCTAGCGGTACCAAAAAAGCAGAGAACCCCTCTGCACTGCGTCGTATGTGAGTATAAGTTTGCCCGTGATTGTTGCCCCTCGGGGCTTGTCTGTGTTTCCGGCTCCTCGATTGATGGCGCTGCTGTGGTCGAGCACGAGGCTGCTCGAGCACATGGCTCGACGGGTCAGAACAAGGGCCTGCCTGTGGCATGGCGCTGCTAATGGCATAGCTACTGCTGGGAACCATCTCCACAAAGGAAAGGGTCGAGCAAATACACCAAAACGGAGACTCGCGCTTGCAGTCAGGAACAACGGACTGTGCAGGACAGACGTTTGCACCGTGCGTCTACCTAGTTTGGCATGCACGAGTGCATATGCATGCCTGCGTATACAGATAAAATGAACTAGAAACTGAACTTCCCTTTATACTAGGGGTTTAGCAGTGTTAATGATTAGAAATGGCAACGAATATGGACAAAGTTACAAATTTGGCGACTACGTACGCAGGAATAAAACTGGTACATAGAAAACCCGGCGAAAAATGCAAGCTATACACTGAGAAGTGAAGAAATAAAGCAGAATCAATATCAAGCGAGGATTAAGTGTCAGGAAGTTGAACAAAAATAATGTGTTTTATTTAAAATGTCAGTTTTCCCCCTTCTTGAGCGAGAGAAACGGTGACTTGATAAAAAGAAGTTAAGAAGTAGTGGGCTTACGCTACTGCATCCAAGAAAAAGACAACTTGTCGTCGTGCACAGCAAATCTGCATTCGGCTCTGCCTAGAAACATCGAGGCTGTTGCTGGCGCCGGAGTCATGTTTTTGTCAACAGTCTTTGCGACCAGAATGTCCACAATAAACGCATAGTGGAACGTATTTGTTTCCGTTACTCCTTTACTCATTGGCTTCTTCTCTGTTTGATCATAAGCAGAGATGACAATGGGGCTGTTACCGGAAAAATAAAAACTCGCGGCGTAGGGCTCACTCAGCAAAAGCCTGAAACCTTAAAAGTTCGACCTGGCTAGTGACAACTGTTATATCCACAACAACGACTGAACCCACAACGGCCCCATATATAGTTTATTTAGCTACTTTGATGTAGCATTAGCTGCAGCCTGTAAAATTCAGCTTTTGCAGCACGTGCTATTGTTTGGTGACGGTAGTTTCGTGAGTTTCCGACATTAGCGATTCGCCCGCGGTTAGGATAACAAAGTGTAGCTTAGTTACCCTTGTCTTTTTCCCTTTTTTAACCTATTTTTAATCCTTCTGGTTCGTTTCGTAGAAAAGTCACAGGCATCTGCAACAGTCAGCATAAACTGGGCTGGGTTCAGCTCGCACCCTGGCGTTACCGAAACATTAAGGCTAATTGCACAACCGTCAGACATCAACAGCATTGTCCGTACAGCTGAGCTGCTAGCCTTTAAGCAACCTAAATCGGCCAGCTGCACATGTCAGTAATCCTCGACTCAGCGGCGAAGGTTACATTCCCAATCATTCTAATCATAGTAAAAATAACATCAGCAATGGTTGGACGTGACACTTGTGTGTTTTGAGGCTTATGAAGAAGAAGCGAGATGTCCATTGACGCACGTCCTTCGTAGATGCTGTGGTGGTGATCGTTAGGTAATTTTGCGAGAGTGTGATTCACGACTGTTGTTTTCCCTGTTAGTAGCTTGTCCATCTGGTGAATGACGGCTAAGCGATACGTAAACGCTATAGATACAAAAGGAAGAAACGAAAAGCCAGAACTACATTGCAGTGAGCTCTACTGCTGAGGCCATATTATGCAACAATATCAATTGCTGTAGAAGCCATTATGTCCTGTGTTTGGATGAGGAAGTCTCGCTATCCCTGGATTGGGCTGACAGATCGAAGCGTTCCCGAATGACGAGCATAAATGACGTGTTCAAGTGCTGGTTAGGAGTCTACAGTGGCGCTGCGCAGGGCTTATGAAAAGAGTCGGACAATGGCGCGGACCTACCCAAACGCGGATAGAATTCGTTGAACGATTGTAAATAAGGGAAGGAACAAATGCTAGGATACAGAAGTTGGCATGTATGAGTGTGCTTTCGAACAGCGGGTTAGCTACTAACACTGGAAATAAATGTGCCTCGAAAGTAACCTCCTCTCGCTAAAAAACAAATACGGACACCAACTAATGTGCGAGACGTGGTCGAAGTGGTACCACATATGCACACAGCCGCTAGCTAGGCGGCCGTATCCGACCCTTTGCTCGGAATGGATGAAGGAAGGAATGCGAGGATAGCTGGCTCTTCACACCTATATCGTTTTCCAGAGTTCCCGGAGTTGGGTTTCAGTGATTTGCGGAAGGTGACTGCTGCAGCTGGAATCAAAGTAGGTTCAGAAATGTCCGAAGACACCTTCAACGAAGTAAGTGACACCGGTCCGTTGGGCCACCTGTGGTTGTGATTAGAAGCGGTTTGTACGGCCTAGTAACGCGCAGTTCATCGACCGGGAACGCTTTATAGCTTCTCTACACTTCTTCCTTCTATAGGCACTGGTCGGGACCGTGCGGACGTTACCGGCATCTCAAGTCATTTTCCTATAATAGCATCTTTGGACTACGAAGAAGACAAGGTCCGGTTAGGGAAAGAAGCGCTGCTGGCGGCAGTAGGACCGGCTGCAGACACGCGTGAAGCGATGGAGATCAGTAAAATCCTCTGACACGGATGAAAGAAAAACAAGAAGGAACACAAAGAGCGAGAAAGTGAGCAAGCAAAAGTAAGAGCTAACAGGATTGTGATCCTGGGGTTTTGCAAGCTGAAAATAAAAGCTAGCAAAAAAGGCAGGCGGCGCCGCATCATCTTTTGAAAAAGGAAGGTGTTTTCGCGCGTAAAGCAGCAAGGCAGGCGAGCCAAAAAAATAAGTGAAAAGGAACGCGAAAAAAAAGGAAAGTACTGGTGCAGCGCTCCTACCGATGCGGCGGTTTTGCGGTACCTGCAGGAGGCAGGCAAAAGATAAACTGGAAGACGGATTCTCGCTTGTATAACGCTTGATGCAGAACGACATTGAATATAGACAGCGGCGCTAAACGCGCCTTGGATTGGTACCTAAGTCTGATCTCTGGCTGCCACTGCTGTAAAAAATAAAACAAAAGGTATGTACGTCTGCTATAGCTGAAATTCAATGTTGGGCCACCGTACCAATGACCTCACGCTGTGAGAATAAGAAAAGTATCACTTCTCGAAGGATACTGGGAGAAAAACATTTTTTAAAAAGAGATTCTTATAGTGAAGTTGCTCTTTTGCTACTGGCGAATTTCTTCCGGATATCGAAGTAACTGGAAAAGCGAGCTGCACCTCGGGCAAGGCTCCAGTGACGTTTGACAACGGGAAAGTGGGCTTGGGTGTTGGCGGTCTATTGAGCTGGTCTTAAAGTGTCATGGGTATAAATAGAAATCATAAATTCTTATCTATCGTCTCTCCTCTTATATGTACAAAAAATATACATAGCGGCGTAGCGGTAATATATTGCGTGCAACAGAAATAACGTTTGTTGCCGATCGCAGAGCAATGTCATGAGAAGACGTGTCTGAAGACTTGGGTATCCGTGGTGCGAAAGCTATTCTTATATATTATTCCTTTTCAATTATACCTGCGTATATGACTTATATCCCTCGTTAGTTACATAAAGGGTTCCTGAAGCAATTTTATATGGGAGGGTCCTGTCCGTGTGTTGCACATTGTATTGCCTGTGGTAAGCAATGCGGGGGCTGACAAAGAACAGGAAGGAAGGGGCGTCATTTTCAACTATGTTTTTCCCCTCAAAGGCACAACATACATACATGCTAGGAACAACTATTATTACGGCTCGTACGTAAGTGGCAAAGTCAGAAAGCAACGTGCAGCCAGTTTCGTTAATGTTGTAATGCCACCTGAGAAAATCGGCCATACAAGTGGGACTCGCACACAGCCCAAAAACCGGCTATTGCGTTTTGCACATTTTCAGCGCCCCTAGTTTCTATACATACCTCTAGGTATTAGAAAATACATGAGGGGAATCGATGGAACCCTGTCAGCTATGTCTCGTATATATGAATCATTTTGCGAGGTTTACGTAAGGTCTCTTTTCAATCGTGAATTGACGAACTATAAATTGGACTTAGGCCGTAAGTAGCTGACACCGGCGATAACGGCAGCATTTATTTAATCAAGGCTGTGTTGACGATCAGAACATTTGGAACTGTAGAATGGACGAGTTCTAATGCGTCTCAAGGTAGCTTCCGAACCTCGAAGGTGAAGCAAATTTAATATGCGTAAAGAACGAACACGCATGGTGAATTCGGCAGTGTGACGTTTTGCAGTATACCCAGCTGCTTTTATATAATAGTGTTTACCCAACAAACACATACGTTACACACTGTCACATATGTACGACGGAGCAATCTCTTTGTATAAAAGTAGATAGTTAACTTTAGTTTTAGTTAGTATTGATTATGCGACGCAGCATTGCCGAAGGCTTTTAACGTATTATATTGTGGTATATAGAAATACTTGGGTGTTGCGAGGAGATCAGTTTTAAAGAAATAGAAGCAACGGCTTAGGTTACAACCGTACCCAAACCTTTGATCGTATGGTTTAAGGATACCCAACATTTTGTAAGCAGCGCTTTGTTCAGACTGTGAGGATGCAACACATAGAACTTTCTAATGTGTTACTATATATATATATATGCCGTAGTTAGATAGAAGCTTTCTGGGGCAATAAAATCAAAAAATACGGCCGCTGGCTTACTTGCCACCGATAGTATGTGCCTATTGTGGATCAAAAAATGGTCCCCTAAAATTTTCTGGCGGACGAAAGCGTTAAACGATATCTAAACGGAGATCAAGAAAAGCCACGCTTAGATTGAACTACAAAACGAAGGCTACTGGACCCGTAGCCTTATACCTGACATAAACAAATGTACGGACAGGCCATAGCCGCTGTACGGACTAACGTAGATTTCAAAAACTTTACGGAAAAAATCAATGAGAACTACGTCATTCTTTGCGTCCCGCGTCCAGCTCGGAGGATTTTCTGGATGAAGAACCCTCTATGACATGCATCGCGAGACAGGGCATAATAGCATATGAGAAACAACTGAAGCAATTATAGACGACATAAACGTAGGAGATCATAAGTCGTTAAAGGAACTTTTCGTGAAGGCATAATGAGGACAAAAAAAAAATTGAAAACGACGAGTTAACAATGAGTAACGCTAAAGGGTTCTAGAGAGGCTGGCTTTTATCACGGTAGTTATAATCCTGCGCAGATCAAATCACCTGATAGGAGCAAGTTATATTTGTTTTGAGTCCGACAGAGTAGGCGGAAGTTTCGAATGAAACTGCAACCAGTTTCCCTTCCGTCTAGACGTATCTATAAAGCATTTTCCCCCCCATAAAGGAAGAACTGTGGATAGTAGCAAATTTTCGGCCGAAGTTATTATTCTGAGTGTGGTGTCTAGTAGAAACGTTCTAATATAATTAAATAGAAATATTCTTGTACAAAAGAGAACGCATTACTAAAGGATTTTATCTGCATGTTCTACAAACTGTTGTGCAATCGTTGATATTTGAAGAAAGACCATGCGTATTTCAACAAGGTGCTGTACTGGTCATACAAACCAATTAATTGGCTTGGCTGTGGGAAAATAGAAGCACGCCTGGAAATGAGTACATATGACCACTAAGCAGCCCCGATTCAAACCTGTTGGATTACAATATATGAAGTGTTATTGAGCGAGACTTCAACAATCACTCACTCGTACTATGAGGAAGTCATTTACAGAACTGCAGAAGGAGCGTTTGAAACGAGCCTTTGAGCAGCTTAAGACCTGTGTCAAATCTATAGTCGTGGTAACTGGTAGTCATATTATATAGGCATGACTAGCAGGAATGACGCATGTGAAAGATTCTAGCGCGTGTAAAAAATTCATGTAAAGAGCTGCATTTATTTAGATACAATCTTAGAGACAAAGCACGATAAAGAGTCTCAATTTAGCTGCCTTATTCTACATATATACTTCACGGCAGGGTTAAATATAAGACGTGTGATAAGTGCTTTTGACTATATTACTTCTATCATTAACTGGATGCCAATGTTGTTGCCTGCTATTAGCTTATCATGCTCGCTTTTCTCGCACCCTTTCGCACATTATGTATATATATATATATATATGTATATATATATATGTATATATAGTTCATACCTTACCTCGAACCCAGATGTATGTAGGCTGATGCCAAAAATTATTACAGTAGGCGGCATTTAGTAGTTAGGCAGCAAGGCCAAGAGTCCCACAAAGCTATACACAGTTGTAAGCTGGTAAAAGGTACCGTTACATTGGGAGTCTATTACCACTTTTTTTCCTAGACAAGCCTGTACACAGCGAAAAAGACGGTAAATGGGAGAAGTGGGAGGAAGATTTATTCGTCCTTAGACAAGCAGTCCTTTGCTGTACGTATTTTTCGGCGTTACCGGCTGATTTTGCATCGACTTCATGTAATATGTACATCTGCTAAATTATTAAGCGAACTTTGCATTTTTCTCGTTAAAATTATTGTCACATTGCAGACAACGACAGCCAAACTCCTGACGGTTGACAAGGATAAATGTTGAAACCGACGCGGTGACGAATTATACTCTATCACAAAACGGGGTACCACATACGCGACGAGAATTATCACAAGTGTATGTGAGACCCTGAACTTGTCCGAAGCGATAACAAGTCTCGCTACGCCCGTATAAGTTTGTTTGACATATAGACGTTCGCACAGTAGATGCAGCTTTGAAGAAGCGTAGCGGTTGCTTAAGTTGCAGTTACATAGATGTCGCGTCTGCAGTCCAAGGCAGGTGCAATATCGAACATTTGTATTTCGATTGTACCTATTGAACCGCATTGCTCGTAAGTTGATGTTTTTCGTAGGGCAATAATCTTCATATGATGAAGTTCAAATGATTAGGTTTTTGAATTTCTTCAGATTAGTGCATAGGCGTCGTGATGCATGGTGATTAAATACGATTATATGTATGTAAATATGAATGAAATTAGCAACAATACATGGATCAGCATTGCTCCTCCTGCTACATTTATTTACAAAGGTTCACATACACGCTAAGTTTGGTCAGCTGAAGAGCTCGATCATCAACACAACAATAATAAACAACACACAGGGAAAACGCATATTATACGTTGAATAAATACTCGAGATTATTAAGTAGGACAGGAAGAGACGATCGAAATCCTGAACATTAAGCAATCATGATAACAGTGTAATGAGCAACTGATAAATGCATAATTCGTTTTGGCTTATTTGGGCCTATAATAGTTTATTAGACTGAGAGAAGGAGTATTTCGCTATTTCGATGCAAGATTTACCCAATTAAAGGACCGCATAATTTATAAAAATGGCGTCTGTGATTCGTTTAGCGCCGAACGCCGCGGCGGCGGCGGCGAGTTCCGTTCATATCGAGATCAATTGTACGTGAAGTGCTGAAAACATAAACCTCTATACGTGTGTGTTACAGGCATGTTGCAGCCTTTACTAGTGATGGCTTCTGAACATTAAGGTCTTCCTAAATTACAACAGGCGTGAAAAACTGCTCGGTGGAAAAAATACACTGTTAAGCCAGTACCTATTTATCTTTATCGCTCTCATTTTGCGAAAGTCCAGCAGAAATTTCGTGGTGTCACATTGATGCAATCTGACGTACCACATCGCGAACTATATAAGCTGTATGCCATTACGGATAGGCCCAAGCGGTACCCATACGCCTGTTAACTACAGTTGCAGTTTTGTCGCTCAGGTGACATAAAGTTTGTCACCGTTCACTGAAGCAGTGGACCAGAAGCAGCCAGGTACAATCAGTATTTACTAGGCCAGCCAAGGACTACGGGTTCGCTGAACGATCACAATGATGATGATGGCGGCGGCAGCGGCGAAGAATTTTGTACGCGCGATTTACGTTGTACGAGCCCGACGTCTCAGTTGAGTCGTTGAGGTACGCCTGTCTACGTTCTAGGCGCTCATTCAATTTGTATTTCCATTATCTCGCTCCGCCAGCTATACGGGCTTAGTTATAATAGCACAGATGGGAAAAAATACAGTCAACTTTG